CGAGCTGCTATCCCTCTCCACCGGCGGCGAGCCGTCGCTGCCGCGGCTCCTCCTGCGCTGGCTCGCCGCGTCGGCGCTGTACGTGCTCGCCGGCCTCGCGCCGCCCGCCCTCCACCTGCAAGACGTGCTGCTGCTCGTCGCGGCGGAGGCAGCCCCTTCCCGCGGCTGCGAGCTGCGAGAGAGCAGCCCGACACTGACCCTGGGCCCTGGTCCCTGGCCCTAGGCCGCCTTCCTCGGCTGCGTCTGCGGGAGTGCGCGCGCCGCGGCAGCCGGCGCCGGCCCCGCGGTGCGTCTCTGGCAGTACGGAGCTGCCGCTGCTGCGGTGCTCCAGTTTGGCGTGCCCCGCTTCCAGATCACTACATTCGACACCAACCTGGTGCTGTACTACCACGCCTTTCGGCAGCTCATGACGCTCGGGTTCGTCGTCACGCTCACGCGCGCGTCCGCCGCGCCGGTGGCGAGCCGCGCGTGGCCGCTCGTGCTCTTCGGCCTGATCCTGCTCTGCCCGTCGACCAGCTTCACGCTCGCCGGGATGATCACCTACCCGTGGTTCCCAAAGACTGCCGACCGGCTCCTCTGGCTCGGAGGATCCTTCGTGGTCCCGCTCGCGCTCGACCGCATCGGCCGCACTTTTGCCGCGGCGGGCGCCGATCTGCCCCTCCCCGCCTCGGTCGGCGTTGGGACGCTCCTCCTTTACTTTGTGCACCCCCTCTTCATCGCCGTCTTTGCCCGTTTCCCTGTCTTCCGCTCTGAGCCGTTCCTGCTCACCACGACTGCGCTCGTGTTCTGCTGCCTCGCTGGTCTAGCTCTGACGGGACGGCGGCGACCCACATGAGCAAACGCTTCTCTCAACACCGCTCATCAACATACACGTACATGACACACGTAGCCTCCGCTCCTGCCGCACACCCTCACACACACGCCGCGCAAGTGTGTGGGAAGTGCAAGTGCAGCCTCCCCTGCCAGAGCACACGCATCGACACACGCGTCGACTTTTTCGTTCCTCGAAAGCGCCGTAAACAATAAAAGAACCTCTCGGCGAGATCGACGGTCGCTCTAAGAGCGACGTCGCTCTAAGAGCGACCGTCGAAAGCGTGCGCCCGCGGCCCGCGCCGGCGGCGCGGCACGCGGGCGCAGCGCGCGCTCACACCGAGTCAAACTACACGTTTCGCGCTCTGCAATCGTCATGGTGGCCAACGCATGCGTTTCCTGATCGCTCGCAAACCACCCATCGTGTTGCGCGCGCTGAGTTCGCCAGCTCTCACTCCGACTTCACTCGGACTTGCCCGGCTTTGTCGTTGCGGGGCTTTTGCTTCTCGCAGGTTGAGGTTGCGCGGCGCCAAACATCGCGGCGATCTCGCTCGAGACGGATGCGCGCTTTGCCTCGGGGAGCTTCGTCGAGAGGTCTTTCACGAGGAGCGCGGCGTCCTTCTTGATCAGGTCGGCGCGCATGTTGAAGAGAGGCACCAGGATCTGCCG